GAGTAAGCCGGAGTACAAGTCTGAGTATGAAGGAGGGCAGGTCGGAGGTGGGAGGTGAGGAGGAAAGGGAGGAAGAGGAAGAGGCCGAGGCGTCACACTAACAGGAACAACTCCATACTGACGAGATGGGGGAAAGCATGCAAGCGATATACGGAAAACACGAACCATTCGAGTGCGAATTCGCCGCCCCGTCGCCGCCCGTCGTCTCGGCCACGGGGTCGGTCTAGCGGCTATGTCGTCGCCGTCGCCGTCGCCGCACCGTCGCCGCCCCGTCGCCGCCTCGTCGCCGCCCGTCGCCTGGGCCTGCATTGCTTCGCATTGCTTTGTTTTGCTATGCCGTGCTGTGCCATGAGTTGCATTGCATTGCATTGCTTTGTATTGTGTTGCATTACGTTGCATTGCGTCGCATTGCTTTGAATTGCTGCATTGTCTTGCATCGCTTTGCACTGCGTTGCAGCGCTTGCATTGCATTGCATTGCAATCGCCCTGATGCGTAACCAGATTGCATTGCATTGCATTGTTTGGCATGACTTGACATTGCTTGCCATTGTTTTGCTTTGCGTTGGATTGTTATGATGTGCTTAGCAATGTGTGGCATTGCCGTGCACTGCTTTGCATTGCGTTGCATTGCTTTACACTGCTTTGCATCAACGTGCAGCGTGTTCCGTCAAGTTGCCCTGCTACTTATTACTTCGCATTGCTTTGCGTTGCTGCGCATTGGTTTGCATTGCGTTGCAGCGTTCGAGTTGCGTTGCCGTACGTTGCTTTACGTTGATTTGCACTGCGCTGCATTGCGTCGCCTTGCTCTGTGTTGCTTTGCGCTGCCTTGCTCTGCGATGCTCTGCCGTGAGTCGCACTGCTTTGCGTCACGTTATATTGCTCTGCGTCGCTTTGCATTGCAACGCATTGCTTTGCATTGCCTGCTTTGCGTTGCTTTGCACGGATTTACATTGATTCGCATTGCTTTGCATCATTTGGCACTGGTTCGCATGGCTCCCAAAACAGGGCTTGCCTTTCGGTCTTCTTGCTTCTCCTGCAAGGCATATCAAAGAACCAGGCCAATGTGTCGCCCCAGCCGGCTTGTGATCGCCCCGTCGCCGCCACTCGCCGCCTCGTCGTGGGCTCGTGTGTCGCCCCAGCCGGCTTGTGGTCGCCCCGTCGCCGCCCCGTCGCCACTCGTCGCCGCCAGTCGCCGTCTCGTCGTCACTATTTGCCGCCGCCCCGTGGCCGCATTGCAATGCAATCGCCGCTCGCTCACCATAGATCGGACCACATAGCTAGACTGCACCACACTGATCGTTTACACCGCATTGCTCAGACCGTCACGATGAGCACGTTGGCTCCACATAGCTTGCATCACATAGCTTACACCAAATAGCTGTCCGCACAGACTGCACTGCGTACATTGCGCTACTTGGCTTGCACGAAATAACTCACGCCCCACAAATCACACCGCATGAATTACACCAAGTAGATCGCACTACAAGCGCACACCCCATATATGGTCCAGGGTTTGGCCCCCCCCCAATGCTGATGCCATTGCCCCCCCCCCCCCCGCGCGATGGTTCCCCCCCGCCCCCCCCTGTGGGCGTGGCGTGGTGCTGCGCTGCGGTTCCCCCCCCCCCCCCCTGTGGATGTGGTGTGGTGCTGTGGTGGTTCAGAGGTGGGCGTGGCGTGGTGTTGCACTGCGGTGCCCCCCTTCTCCCCCCGTGTGGATGTGGTGTGGTGCTGTGTGGTTCAGAATCGTCGTCGTCGTCGTCGTCGTCGTCGTCGTCCTCGTCGTCCTCGTCGTCTCGTCGTCTCGTCGTCGTCGTCGTCGTCATCGTCGTCGTCATCGTCGTCGTCGTCGTCATCGTCGTCGTCGCCGTCGTCGTCATCATCGTCGTCACCGCCGCCGCCGGCGTCGTCGCCGCCGCAGCCGTCGTTGTCGTCGTGGTCGTCGTCGTCGTCGTCGTCGTCGTCGTCGTCGTCGTCGTCGTCCTCGTCGTCCTCGTCGTCCTCGTCGTCCTCGTCGTCGTCGTCATCGTCGTCGTCATCGTCGTCGTCGTCGTCATCGTCGTCGTCGCCGTCGTCATCGTCATCATCGTCTTCACCGCCGCCGCCGGCGTCGTCGCCGCCGCAGCCGTCGTCGTCGTCGTCGTCGTCGTCGTCGTCGTCGTCGTCGTCGTCGTCGTCTTCGTCGTCGTCGTCGTCGTCGTCGTCGTCGTCTCTGGGACCATACCATCTGGGGGGGGGGGCCCGAGGAATCCTGGGACCATACCATCTGGGGGGGGGCCCGTGGGCCCTCGACCCTGGATCATATATGCTCCGCTCTAAACCGAAATTAAGACCTACCACGACCAACCCACCCCGATCGGTTCCGCTTGGGATACTACAACTTGAATATGGTCCCAAACCACTGTTCGCAATTGAGAAGAACCATACCATCCCAGCTGAACCCCTTTTTATCGCCCCCCTCTTTTCATGCCTGTCAAATAATACTATGCGCGCGCTTGTTTATGAAGAGCCACAGATTGTCAAGAAACCTTACAACATCGACACCCGCGCGTCGTCGCGCGAGCATACCGAAATCTCTCCAACACCACAAGGTTCAGAAGGATGTCAA